GAAAAACACAATAAGATACATGTTAAAGATGACGAATATTGCCATGTTAAAGAAGAGAAAACTGATGATGTAGATGAATATTGTCATGTTAAAGAAGAGAAAACTGATGATGTAGATGAATATTGTCATGTTAAAGAAGAGAAATCTGATGATGTAGATGAATATTGTCATGTTCATTTTAATGAAGAGAAAACTGATGATGTAGATGAATATTGTCATGTTAAAGAAGAGAAAACTGATTTTGTAGATGAATATTGTCATGTTCATTTTAATGAAGAGAAAACTGATGATGTAGATGAATATTGTCATGTTAAAGAAGAGAAAACTGAAGATATTGGAACTGTTTATCAGTGTAATTTGTGTGATGAAGAATTTAAATCTTACACTGATTTACAGAAACACTGTGAAATACATGTTAGTCAGCAAGGGAAAACAAGAGAAAAACCTTATAAATGTGATGTTTGTCGTAAATCATTTACTACTAGTAGTCATCTACAGAGACACGTGAGAATTCATACTGGTGTAAAACCATATAAATGTGATGTTTGTGGTAAATCATTTACTAATAGTAGTCATCTACAGGAACACCTGAGAATTCATACAGGTGAAAAACCTTATAAATGTGATGTTTGTAATAAATCATACAATAGACTATTTACTCTTCAGAGACACTTGAAAACTCATACAGGGAAAAAACCATATAAATGTAAAGTTTGTACTAAATCATTTCCTAGAGTTCACGACTTACAAATACACATGAGAATTCATATTGGAGAGGAACCATATAAATGTGTAATAAATAATTTACCATTGGCAGTAATCTACAGACCCACATGAGAATTCATACTGGAGAAATCATTTACTGATAATAGTGGTCTACACCAACACATGAGAATTCATACTTGTAAAAAAAACCTTATAATTGTGATGTTTGTGGTAAATCATTTACTGATAATAGTGGTCTACACCAACACATGAGAATTCATACTTGTAAAAAAACCCTTATAATTGTGATGTTTGTGGTAAATCATTTACTACTAGTATTAGTCTACAAACACACATGAGAAGTCATACAGGTGAAAAACCTTATAATTGTTATGTTTGAAGTAAATCATTCACTGCTGGTTCTAATACTGGAAAAAGATATATAAATCTGCAGAAACATGTCAGAATTCGTGCAGTAAAAAAACCATTTACTACCAGAACTCTTACTAGTAGTGCCGGGTAATCATCCCAGATTTCTTTATGAATCTACTACATGTAGTTTCGTACTTACGCAAGCTTTTCAGGCTTCAGTGAGATTGTGTATCTGTTCACTTTATATTGTCGTGAAGGACTGGATTGGAGCACAGTAGTAGTAGCCTTAGGTGGACCAGGGCAATCTGTTTCACCAGAGTTGTTTCCGTAATTATGCAGGGATAGACATTCGGTATTTTTTGCGAGAATCTAAGAGGATTGTCATATATGGAATCCTGTGAATCTTAATTAATAATACTGTCTAAAAAACAAAATTGTGTTTATTGTGTTATTCCAAAACACCAAAATACAACAATGATAAAAAATGGCAATCAGATGAAGTTTTTGGTTAATACTTAAAGTGTATCAAAAGTAATATCCAGAAAATGCTGATACAGCACCATGACATTTCTTCATAGCACAATTTGTAGTCTTTTGTCCATCACGTAACTAGTCACGTAACTTGCAAAAGTTTTTATTCATTCGTCGATGATAGACAAACGGCACAATGATCATGTGACAACCATAACTGAAATTGCTATAAAATAAAATTCTGTACGACTATTCTGTCAGCATGTATATAAAATAAAAAATCATAACGGTAAACGCTATTTAGAACTGGTTTATTGACCTAATTCCAACCAATATGTTACATGTCATTGGAATTCGGCATTTGAGATTATGTTGGGAAAATATCCACTGTTTCTCTCTCTGTGTATTCGGTGTTCTATCAGGGGGATTATATTCAATAAAGATTTAAATTTAACTAACAACTGGTCAGTGAATCCATCAATGTATGATCCAGTTATTATTTTAATATCTACCGGTACCTGGTAGTCACACAGACGGATTTGCAAACCATAACCTTGCTGAGATCGTCTTCATTCACAACATGAAATTTTCCTGAACCTCGTATGAATTATCAGCAAGCTTGTTTTTTTTTTTACCGGATTATGAAAATCACCGTTAAATGTGCTAATTACTCGGATTATGAACCACATATGGCCGATTCTCACTAAGGTATGACTGTTGTTGTAGACAACACTTCTTTATTAACAAGTAATAATTAACGCATTGTAATATTAGCCAAAAGTAGATTGATTTATGATACCATGTGGCCAGTTCATTGTTTTACCAATCGGCTAGATTAAACACCAATTGGCTAAATCAGACAAAATACAGAACACTGACCCTGACTGACATTCAACAGTAGGACATAACCATTTAAGGGATTTTTTTTTTTTTAGAAAAATTTTATGTGAATCCTTATAGATTTGCAGCGTAAGTTCTTGCGAGAATTAGATTCGGAGATTTGCGTGAATTTCTAGCCCTGTTATATGCTGTAATAAAAATGCTTATTTGCGTAGATTCTATTATTATTATTGCTCAGTTCACAGATGTCTTGTAGATAGAATGACCTGTTATCATATGATGACGAATTTTAAGGGCGTTTAAACAATATTTTATGCTATTGGTAGCCAGTTTAGAAACTTTATCTATACGAGTTTAAGTGGAAGGCCTATGAGTAGGGAGGTACAATTATCAAGCCTTGAAGTTAGAAATATTGCATATATGATAATTCCAACATTTGCAAAGGTTATTACTGTGGGCTTCCATATTCATGTTAGAATCTAATATTGTGTCGATATTGTGCGCTGATTGTCATGGGGATATTAGGCAAGTTCCTGTTGAAATTGAATTGTTTTCATTAAGTTTTTCGAGCCAATAATAAGATATTTGTTTTTTTCATCGTTTTATTTTAGAAAATGTTGTGACATTCAACATCTCATATCATCAATACAATTTGCAAGATTAAATTTAGTGTAGTTAGGCCTGTGAGTAGGGGATTACAATTATCGAGCCTTGAAGTTATAATTAAACTGGTTACTTAGTGAAGAGATGGATTTTCTAATTTTGCCAATATTGCATACATGTACATGTATATAGAGAATCTCCTACGAGTCTTTTTTGATATTAAAAGTATCAACACAAATCGAAAATGTAAAGACCCGTACTCGCATGCAAATTATTGAAATAAAATTAACCCATATGTTAGTCCCAAAATAACCTAGTTTGTGGATGTAAGACCCCACCTCTCTCTTTCATCTTTTAGATTTTCAGCCTGATTTGAAAATCCAAGTTAACAATTAAAATGTCACCAGTTGAAATTTGAAAAAAAAAACCCCACATCGCTGTCCTGGCAAAAATTTCTCACATAGCCCATTGGAATGAAATGAAATGAAATTGGGTTTACCATCCTACTGTTCTGCTCCAAACTGGATTTGTCACATTCTTGATCAAAGACGTTTTTTTTACATCCATTAAAGGCCTGGGGTTGATCACAGCTATGACACACCCACAGACAATCCCAAGTAGGCACCACGTTTGTGACAGCCATAAAGGGCAGGTCCCCCTCCAGAAGACCCAGGGGGTCAAAGCATCGTTTTTCGAGGTGTACGGGCACAGGAAGGTCTAAGGAGCCGCAGATTTGGAGAAAGTGGGGGGGGGGGTCTGGGCATCCGGCGGGCAGGGCTGGGGGTGATCACAGTATTGCAGCATTAGAGTCAATTCCTAGTCAGCCTAAACCACGCTGTCCAAACTCGTGGGTTTTCTACGGTTTCCTCCCACTGTTAAAGACCCTACGCGCAAGCGAATTATTGAAATAAAATTAAACCATATGTTAGTCCCGAAATGACCTAGTTTGTGTCGAGTGGAGGTTAAACCCCATTTCTCTCTCTCTCTTTCAATTTTTAAAAAACATGAAGAATGAAAGAAGTCTTTGGGTTTCCCAGCAGAATTCTTTAAAATGTTGTGGTCAGACTTAGGGCCCTTTGTAATTCGATCTATAAACAACTGCTATGAGGAAAATGAAATATCTATAATACAAAAATTAGGTATAATAACGTGAATACACATTTTGAAAAACTTAAAGCCTTTAACATAATCTTAACACTGTATATAAAATAGCAGCAGACACAATAGCCAACAGAATAAAAAAAAAAAACATTTGAATAAGATTATTGATAATGACCAAACAGGTTTTATTAAGGGTAGATATATTAGCAAAAATATTCGTTTAATATATGACGTCCTTGAATACACAGAAAAAAAACAAATACCAGGGCTATTGCTAATGATAGATTTTGAAAAGGCTTTTGATAGATACAGCTCTTGACATTTTTGGCTTTATTAACTCCATTAAAAAATGGATATCAACCCTATACAAAAATTCAGAATCAAGAGTTATAATAAATGGGCATTAGAAGTATTGTTGATTTGTCTTTCTGAATTCCCACTGAACTACTGGTCATGTAAGTTAATTAAAATAATTGAAGGCCTACCCTATGGGCAATATAGCTTTAAAGTATATTGAGGAACTGACCCCTGTTATTAAATGTGGAATCAACCCAGGTAATGCAGCAATCATATTGACTCGGCCATTACAGCAATCAAACGTATTATTAAACGTATGAGAAACTGAAACTGTGACAGCTGGAATTAAATGTTGAATCAACCCAGGTATTTCAGCAATTATATCCACTCAGCCATTACAGCAATCATATGTCTTAAAATAATTGCAATATTGTGTTGGTGAGACGTTAAATTCCTTTCGTTTTGATTTACATCTGACAAAAATTACAAATTAAATTACGCGTTGTGTTTGACGTTTGTGAGTCGTTCGCGTTGAATAGATCCATGACCTTATTCATTATACAACTGGTATCGGTTCTCTACCGGAAATGAACTTGGGAAGAACAAAGAAACGTTTTTCTCCTCGTTATATTACCTTATTTGAACCTCACAACAAAAGGGCAGCTTACAGACAACCGATCATTTACTGTAACAGAACTTTACATACAAAATAATGGTGAGTATTACTGTTACTATTCAAGCCACATGCTGTGAAAAAGACTGACGTGTGAACGATTTAAATATTTAGTGTTGCATTTCAAGACGTTAAGTAAAGCTATTTCACGCACACACACATCTTACTCAGCCAGGCTATATTAAAGGAGCTAAATCGCTAACATTTGGGACCTAGAAATTGACACAAGTGGGTCGCAACTCATATAATACTGTAATATGAATGTATATAAACTGATATACATTCAATGGTTTCCGTTTTTATTCCAATTTTAAATCAGTTATGTTCCGCGAAATAAGCCCGCAGTCTCAATCGAATGCAAATTTCTAGCGCCTGGTTATTCCAGTCTACATACGCCGTTTTGGTTTGGTGCAATATGTCTAGCCTAGTTCCTCGAGTCTCTTGCTAGAACTGGGGCTTAAACGCATTATGGTACACGATTCGTGTACCAATGGCAAAATGTTTATTTTGTCTTAAATATTGGATATCAGAAGCCCATCTCTTTCCGGTAAGATCACAGCATCAATGTTGATTTAAATTGACAAATAATTTGTGTTTTCAATGTTGAAGATTTTGGATGATATTGAGTTAGAGACTTAGCTACTTTAATAATAAAGTTTAGTAATTATCTGTTCTGATTTAGTTGACTTTTGTTTAAAGAATCGATTCTTCTTGCTTTAAAGCTCCACATAGACTGACTTTTGTATTGAAGGGTGGGGTTAAATATTTCTTAAAGTGAAAACATGTATCACAGTTTCATTCATATAGATTACGGTACATTAAACATACATTATGCAAGAGCTAAATCTGCCAATTGCACTTCTTTATTTAGTCCTGAAATGTTATCTAAATTATTAATTAGACATTAATTAACTTATCCAGACCATAACAACTCTCCATGTCATCGCTAGCCTGCCATATTTACTGGATTAGAACCCGGTCTGCTGCTTCTGATTAAATAAAAAAATGGATAATTGAAACTATGTTTTTTTATCGTACCGACTTTAGTAATGATGATCGAGGCTAGGCCTAAAATTCTATCGCTGGATACTCAGTTCAGGGTGGATCAATTTGACTGAAATTTTCAGCAAATTCCCTTTACATTTTTTAGTTTTTAACTATTATAGTGAGAACTACCAACTTGTTATCTCATCTTCCATAATGTATTTTTAAACAAACTTTTATTTTTATTCATAGTAAGCTATCGGTCAATTAGGAAAATTCTGCTGGAATCTGTATAATCTTTGCAAAGTCCAGCTTAGTGCTATACTAAATTCTATAGTAAGTTTTAAAATACAGATGTGACGTCATCCTTTGATGTTGGAGTACCATTATTTCAAATAATCGTACGGGCAATGTGCCAAGCGTAACTTCGTAAAATATTGAACTCGAGTGACGTATTTCATTGCAAAGCACGTGCAAGTGTCTGTATTTTAAGTTGTTTAATGGTCTCGAGCTTAAGACATTGCGTAATATATTGTAAAAACATGTTGTTACAATATATTACTTAATGTCTCGCTCTCGACCATTAAACAATACATAATTAATATTAATAAAAGATTTCCAGTTATGATATCTGTGGTATAGAATAATTCTCCTACATTATTCTGCAGTATACTAATATTATAGTATTAAGTATCCATCCAAATTCTTCAGAAAACTATAGAATTCTCATCTGTTATATGTTTCTCAACAAAATCTACTGAACAAAATATTCTTTCTATAGTTTTCTACAGAATATCATAGAAAACTATAGGATCACACAACCGACTTCAGGATACAAGTTAGTTCTATAGAAAACTAAAGTTTTTACAATAAATTCTATAGCAGCAAAAAACTATAGGATTACACAACTGACTTCAGGAAATAAGTTAGGTCTGTTGAATACTACAGGATTACACAACTGACTTCAAGATATAAGTTAGTTCTATAGAAAACTATAGGATTATTTTTTTTACCATAGTTTCTTACAGTATTCTATAGAATTCTACAGGAAATTACACTAGGAAAAAAAACTCAACTACCGATCCTATACAAAACTAAAGTAAATTATTTCAGATCTGTTTCCCTATAGTATTCTCTAGAGCATTCTATAGACTCCTTCAAAATTCTATAGGAACATACACTTTTTCTATAGGACTTTGTCATAAGGGCATCCTGATTCTAACAAAGTCTCAGTGATATGAAATCAGTGTACGTATGAAATTGAAACGCCAAAATACAGAGGAATGGTGTATTTATCTTGCCTCAAAATTTGAGCTCAAAAGTGACCTGATAATTTATTGCCGTTCCTTTAGAGGTCTATACATTGCATGACCTAAATGCTGTACTTGATAACGAAAGGTAAATTTCACCTACACGTTATTTTTATGAGAAAAAAAAGATTGGTTTTATCCAGACACTATATAATCCAGCTAGGGACACCTGTCTCCATTTCCAGACGAAGACTGATTGGTTTAAGTTGTTTGAAAACATATCAGGTATATTGAGTTACTTGCTCAGTGCTAAGGTAGAAGATTTTAAAGGCTTTTAACACAAAATTAAGCAGTTTTATTCTCCAAAATATAATCGAGATGGCTCTTTAACCCAGAGTGAGCACTGCACACACAAGCAGTTTTAGACATGTTTATTTTATTTTACTGTGTAATCAAATACATGTTGCTCTATTCAGCCAACTTGCCTGAAGTAAATATCTGTTGCTCTATTCAGTCAACTTGCCTGATAGATAGTTTACCATAGCTTTCTACATTGTTACTAATGATGATATAACATTTATATATTACAGGAAACTAATGATGTTATAACTTTCCATCAGTGTGTTGTATGTGATGAGATTTTTCAACAATATGATGATTTAGAAAAACACAAAAAAATCCATATTAAAGAAGAGAAAACTGATGATGTAGATGAATATTGCCATGTTAAAGAAGAGAAAATTGATGATGTAGATGAATATTGTCATGTTAAAGAAGAGAAAACTGATGATATTGAAACTGTTTATCAGTGTAATTTGTGTGATGATGAATTTAATTTAGAAAAAGATTTAGAAAAACACTGTGAAATACATGTTAGTCAGCAAGGGCAAACAAGAGAAAAACCTTATAAATGTGATGTTTGTAGTAAATCATTTACTAAAAGAAGTCATTTACAGTCACACATAAGAATTCACACAGGCGAAAAACCTTATAAATGTGATGTTTGTAATAAATCATTTTCTGATAGTAGTCATCTACAGTCACACATAAGAATTCATACTGGTGAAAAACCTTATAAATGTAATGTTTGTAATAAATCATGTACAACTAGTGGTAATCTACAGAAGCACACCAGATCTCATACAGGTGAAAAACCTTATAAATGTGATACTTGTAGTAAATCATTTTCTGAGAGTAGTAGTCTACAGAGACATATCAGAGTTCATACTGGTGAAAAACCTTATAAATGTGATGTTTGTAGTAAATCATTTTCTAATGTAAGTAATCTAAAGAGTCATATCAGAACTCATATTGGAGACAAACCTTATAAATGTGATGTTTGTAGTAAATCATTTTCTAAAAGAAGTCATTTACAGTCACACATAAGAATTCACACAGGAGAAAAACCTTATAAATGTGATGTTTGTAATAAATCATTTTCTGATAGTAGTCATCTACAGTCACACATAAGAATTCACACAGGTGAAAAACCTTATAAATGTGATATTTGTAATAAATCATGTACAACTAGTGGTAATCTACAGAAGCATACAAGAATTCACACAGGGGAAAAACCTTATAAATGTGATGTTTGTAGTAAATCATTTTCTGAGAGTGGAAGTCTACAGAGACATATCAGAGTTCATACAGGTGAAAAACCTTATAAATGTGATGTTTGTAGTAAATCATTTTCTAATGTAAGTAATCTAAAGAGTCATATCAGAACTCATATTGGAGACAAACCTTATAAATGTGATGTTTGTAGTAAATCATTTTCTAAAAGAAGTCATTTACAGTCACACATGAGAATTCACACAGGAGAAAAACCTTATAAATGTGATGTTTGCAGTAAATCATTCAAACAGAGTACGAGCCTACAGAAGCACATTAAATCACACAGGTGAATAATAGTTTGTAGTCAATTATTCAAATGTGGTAGAGTATTACACTAGTGATGGTCCAATATGGCTACTATAAGTTTTACTAACATCAGATATTGACAGCGACATATATTGTCCGATAGTGGTGGATATAAAACTATTACACATTAAAGTGCCCCAAATGTCATGATAATCAATGTAGAAATGTCTGGTGCTATTTTATCTCGAGAATTAAACACAAACATTTATTGTGAACTTAATTATTTGCTGTATGGTTAATTAAAAATTTGAGGTTATCAGTGATTAAATTCCCTAAATTGATCGGCACCTGTAGGCCTATCACAGATGTCAGAATGGTTTATGGGGTAATGATACGACATCAGAGCGATAGTTTCCCATCTGTCTGTTTGTAATGTTATGAATTAATAAAGTATGATCTATTTTTTATGAGTTAATAGATGTCGACAACAATACAAATTATATCTACATCTTTAAAGTATGATCTATTTTATGAGTTAATAGATGTCGACAACAATACAAATTATGTCTACATCTTTAAAGTATGATCTATATTATGAGTTAAGTGTAGGATAAAGCACGAGACTGAGGTTATGCTGGGGAAAGAAAGACTGAAGAAAACAACCTGAGGTTTTTCTGTCGAGGGTCTTTTCTGTCAAGGGTCTTTTCTTTCTTTCTTCCCCAGCATAACCAAGTCGAGGACTTTATCTTGCTTATAAACCGTCTATGTTTACATATACGCAAAATGAGAATATCCCAGAATTCCTGTAAGAAAAACCTTATATCATGTTTTCTTATGGAAAAAAACATACCCTGGAAGAATAACCCGTTAAAGAAACACTTTCAGAAGAATAACCCCAAATTTCCCTGTATATATCCAAGGCCACCCCCGACTTTCAGACCGCAAGTTATTCTAGGCATAGAATATACCCCAAAGATCAAAGAGATTTACCGTTACAGGTTTATAAAAGTACATAACAATACAAATCACTAAATTATGTCTAAATTTTTATCGTCATCTATAATCCTGATGTGACATCTATAAGCCTGTATGGCAGGTGTAGTTCTGACAGTAATCATGTGACGTTATATCAAAGATCATCCCAACCCCTTTCATCCTTCTTGTCAATGACGCGTAAACAAAGTGATATTTTCCCACTTTTTTACAAAACTTCTACGCCTCATGACAATGTGCAGACAATAGCAATAGTGAATTAGATAAAACAAAGAAAATAATTCTGTGAAGTAATAAGATTTGGAACTATTTCACGATCAGCGACAGTGGCCAAAGTAAGGCCAAATGTAAGACTTGCGAGGCTTCAAATTCCTGGGGCGTTACCAGTGTAAATAATTACACTATATCATATTTGTTGAACCATTCTATGCTCGAACTCTGGAATAGAATTTGCAGAATTCCATTGTATGTTAATGTCTGTTGAAACATTTGTATAAGTGGGTAATGGCAGACGTGATTTTCTGACGTGGTGTTCCCTTGTCAGTGGTGCAGGATGGAGGGCCTGACGAGGACAGCTGTCTAGTCATTTGGATGGCATAAAAAAACGAATCCTGTGTATACATTGATGTGCACATAAAAGATCCCTTGACAGTTGGAATTTGATATAAGAGTAGGCCATAGTACCATTGTCCAGGCAAAATTCCCCTCATAGCACACTGTATGGCGTATGCCTGTCTTCATTAGTGCAGGTTATGAGCAGAACAGTAGGACGTTAAACCCCATTTCAGTTTCTCAAAATTCATGAACTCTTCTTATCTATAAATATGCATGCGCGCAACCTAACACGGTCACAAATCATTTAAATCGAAGCACAAGTACCGTTGCTATGGTAGACACTTAAGTGACTTAAAATTCTTCTCTTGTGAATAAACAATACCAAACAGACTCCGCTCATTGCTACATTACTATATTTGGACTTTACGCAGTGTGAGCTATAAGCGTCAGCAAGTGAGTGACAGGCCATTACCATATTTGGGTGATACGCAGTGTGGGCAATAAGGGTCACCTAATGGTTTGATATAAGCGATTTCCTCATTTCTACAAGTTACCCCATTTTATTGAATGTATTGATATGATAGTATTAATATTATTTATTGCTTGCAGTGTATGGACAGTAAGTGAGTGATATAAGCGATTAAATGTATTGATATGATAGTATTTATATTACTTATTGCTTGTAGTGTCTGTGTTATTTGTCTAAAGTGATTTGTCCCAGAGTTTGTCCTGGGATTCTTTGGCTGTTCTCCTGCACTTACTATTAACACTCATAATAAAATATTTTTCAACATCATCCCCTCTACTCCCCATAATGAAATATTTCTCAACACCACCCTTCTACTCCCCATAATAAAATATCTCTCAACATCACCCCTCTGATTCATAATGAAATATCTCTCAACACCACCATAACAATGTATAAAATTATCCTATAGGGTCACACCATGTCAAGTTGACCAGTGGTTGTCGGGTGATCCCCTCAGAATATTATGAAAAAAAATAATAAAATTGGGGGGTAATGTTCCTTGAGCACGTGTATCTATTAATGGTAAAAGGTCTATTGATTTTTTTTCACAATGTTCTGAAGGGGTCACCCGACAACTATCTATAAGTCTGGTCCACTAGTGAGAATACATTTATAAATAAAAACGAAATAATTAAAGCTGACAGCAATTATGTGTAAAACAAAATCAAACTAACAGATGAGTAAAACACAGGTTGAGAGATATGCAGTAAAATAGTTTGATTTTCCATTTTGCATTTATCTGGCGAAGCTACTGTACAGTTTCGGATTTCACATTTATGACTTTTATATATTACAGGAAACTAATGATGTTATAACTTTCCATCAGTGTGTTGTATGTGATGAGATTTTTCAACAATATGATGATTTAGAAAAACACAATAAAATCCATATTAAAGAAGAGAAAACTGATGTAGATGAATATTGTCATGTTAAAGAAGAGAAAGCTGATGATATAGTTGGATATTGTCATGTTAAAGAAGAGAAAACTGATGATATAGATGAATATTGTCATGTTAAAGGAGAGAAAACTGATGATGTAGATGAATATTGTCATGTTAAAGAAGAGAAAACTGATGATGTAGATGAATATTGTCATGTTAAAGAAGAGAAAACTGATGATGTAGATGAATATTGTCATGTTAAAGGAGAGAAAACTGATGATGTAGGTGAATATTGTCATGCTAAAGAAGAGAAAACTGATGATATTGAAACTGTTTATCAGTGTAATTTGTGTGATGATGAATTTAATTTAGAAACAGATTTAGAAAAACACTGTGAAATACATGTTAGTCAGCAAGGGCAAACAGGAGAAAAACCTTATAAATGTGATGTTTGTAGTAAATCATTTTCTGAGAGTAGTAGTCTACAGACACATATCAGAGTTCATACAGCGGAAAAACCTTATAAATGTGATGTTTGCAGTAAATCATTCAAACAGGGTACGAGCCTACAGAAGCACATTAAATCACACAGGTGAATAATAGTTTGTAGTCAATTATTCAAATGTGGTAGAGTATTACACTAGTGATGGTCCAATATGGCTACTATAAGTTTTACTAACATCAGATATTGACAGCGAAATATATTGTCCGATAGTGGTGCATATAAAACTATTACACATTAAAGTGCCCCAAATGTCATGATAATCAATGTAGAAATGTCTGGTGCTATTTTATCTCGAGAATTAAACACAAACATTTATCGTGAACTTAATTATTTGCGGTATGGTTAATTAAAAATTTGAGGTTATCAGTTATTAAATTCCCTAAATTGATCGGCACCTGTAGGCCTATCACAGATGTCAGAATGGTTTATGGGGTAATGATACGACATCAGAGCGATAGTTTCCCATCTGTCTGTTTGTAATGTTATGAATTAATAAAGTATGATCTATTTTTTATGAGTTAATAGATGTCGACAACAATACAAATTATATCTACATCTTTAAAGTATGATCTATTTTATGAGTTAATAGATGTCGACAACAATACAAATTATATCTACATCTTTAAAGTATGATCTATTTTATGAGTTAAGTGTAGGATAAAGCACGAGACTGAGGTTATGCTGGGGAAAGAAAGACTGAAGAATACAACCTGAGGTTTTTCTGTCGAGGGTCTTTTCTGTCAAGGGTCTTTTCTTTCTTTCTTCCCCAGCATAACCAAGTCAAGGACTTTATCTTGCTTATAAACCGTCTATGTTTACATATACGCAAAATGAGAATATCCCAGAATTCCCGTAAGAAAAACCTTATATCATGTTTTCTTATGGAAAAAAACATACCCTGGAAGAATAACCCGTTAAAGAAACACTTTCAGAAGAATAACCCCAAATTTCCCTGTATATATCCAAGGCCACCCCCGACTTTCAGACCGCAAGTTATTCTAGGCATAGAATATACCCCAAAGATCAAAGAAATTTACCGTTACAGGTTTATAAAAGTACATAACAATACAAATCACTAAATTATGTCTAAATTTTTATCGGCATCTATAATCCTGATGTGCATCTATAAGCCTGTATGGCAGGTGTAGTTCTGACAGTAATCATGTGACGTTATATCAAAGATCATCCCAACCCCTTTCATCCTTCTTGTCAATGACGCGTAAACAAAGTGATATTTTCCCGCTTTTTTACAAAACTTCTACGCCTCATGACAATGTGCAGACAATAGCAATAGTGAATTAGATAAAACAAAGAAAATAATTTTGTTAAGTAATAAGATTTGGAACTATTTCACAATCAGCGACAGTGGCCAAATGTAAGACTTGCGAGGCTTCAAATTCCTGGGGCGTTACCAGTGTAAATAATTACACTATATCATATTTGTTGAACCATTCTATGCTCGAACTCTGGAATAGAATTTGCAGAATTCCATTGTATGTTAATGTCTGTTGAAACATTTGTATAAGTGGGTAATGGCAGACGTGATTTTCTGACGTGGTGTTCCTTTGTCAGTGGTGCAGGATGGAGGGCCCGACGAGGACAGCTGTCTAGTCATTTGGATGGCATAAAAAAACGAATCCTGTGTATACATTGATGTGCACATAAAAGATCCCTTGACAGTTGGAATTTGATATAAGAGTAGGCCATAGTACCATTGTCCAGGCAAAATTCCCCTCATAGCACACTGTCTTCATTAGTCCAGGTTATGAGCAGAACAGTAGGACGTTAAACCCCATTTCATTTCATTTCATTTAATTGGAAGGCCTGTGAGTAGGCGGTTACAAATATCGAGCCTTGAAGTTATAAATGAACTGACTACTTAGTAACTTGCATTTGAACAGATGGATTTTCTAATTTTGCTAATATTGCCGGCTTAGGGTAAGCAGAGATAAGCAATTTGATTGGTTGATGCTTTGGAACACGATAACTTTAGTTACAA